TCCTTCCTGCCCCAGGCCCCGAGCTGAGGACGGAGAGCACGGAGGACAAATCCCCCCGGCAGAGCCTGGTGGGAGAGGCCGTTTTGAAGGGCTCCCCGGCGCAGGAAGGCAGCGGGGAGGAAAAGGCCCGGAGATGCCCCCGGAGGAGGGGCTGCAAAGCCAGCCCAGGGAGCTGTGAGGAGGAAAGAGTCGTCCTGTGCGGGGAAGGCGGCCGGAGCTTGAGCCGGAGCTCTGAGCTGGTGGTCCCTGAGCAGCCTCCCAGCAGGGAGAAGCCCTTCAGGTGCTGGGAATGTGGGAAGAGCTTCAGGAAGAGCTCAAACCTCCTCACCCACCAGCACATCCACACTGGGAAACGGCCCTACTCATGTACGGAGTGTGGGAAGAACTTCAGGAGCAGGTCCCAGCTGATCCAACACCAGCGCATCCACAGTGGGGAACGGCCCTACAAGTGCTTGGAATGTGGGAAGAGGTTTCAGCAAAGTTCAAATCTCCTCATGCACAAGCAGACACACACAGGGGAGAGGCTTTTCCGCTGCACCGATTGCGGGAAGGGCTTCAAACGCAACTCCCACCTCATCGGCCACCGGCGCATCCACACCGGGGAGAGGCCCTACAAGTGTGGCAAGTGTGGGAAGAGCTTCAGTGACCGCTCCAGCCTCCGCACCCACCAGCACATCCACACAGGGGAATGTCCCTACAGATGTGGGAAATGTGGGAAGAGGTTTCAGACCAGCGGGAGTCTCCTCGTTCATGAGCGGATACACACAGAGGAGAGGCCCTTCCGCTGCTCCGACTGCAGGAAGGGCTTCAAATGGAACTTTCACCTCATCAATCACCGGCGCATCCACACCGGGGAGAGGCCCTACAAGTGTGGGGAGTGTGGGAAGAGCTTCACCTGGAGCTCTGCCTTGACCAGACACCAACGGACCCACCAGTAAGGGAAGCCCCCTGAGTGCCCCAACTGCGGGAAGAGCTTCGGCCGCTGCTCCCACCTGGAATGACCCCCCTGATGGTGAGGCAACCCCTGAAGTCCAGTGACTGTCAGTCCATCCCTTTCCACCAGAAACGACCAGTCCCCTTTGCCAGGGGCAGGTTCTGCCCACAGAACTGTTTATGAGGGATGTGTGTGGAGATACCTGCCTTGGCTGGGACCCCCTGTATTCATTTTTAATTAGACACTGCTACTGTTGGTCTGTGTTTGGTCCAGCCCCCTTTGAGAGTTTGTTCTTTTCCTGCCAAGTTATGGGAAAACAAGCGCTGATTAGAGAGAACTTAGTCCTTGAAGGCAGCATTTTGTATAAACTGAAATTAATTGGTATGTCACTGTATGCAGCTTCTGCGATGGGGAATTCTAATCATTCTAGGGTCAGTAAGACAACCTCGTAAGTAACACCTTTGTGAGCGTGGCGTTTACTGAGGGCTTTTTTCCCTCCTCTTTCCTGTCTCTTGGTTTCTCATTTTGTTGGCTGTAGCGTTATTAATATAATAAATAAATAAGTCCCGTGGGGACCTTGTGAGCACCAGCGTGGTGGGGTAACAAATCCCTTTATTCAAACAACTCGCAGGTTAAATAGTAGTTTCAAATGGTCCCACGTCACACAGGTAGTCTCCTAAGCCAATCCCATGCAAGCATTCAACTGAGCATGTGCAAGAGTCTTTAGAACTACAATTCCCAGAATGCCTCAGCAGCACCTGGTATAACCACACTCCACAGTTGGCCACTTCTTTGTAAGAAATACTGTTTTTTTTGAGCTTTCAGCGGTGTTTTGGTTTCAATTTGGGCATCCATTCAAACCATCCCTGGAAAATAAATTTGAGGACGAGGATGGGATGCTGAGTGTGGAACACACCGTTGCCAGGGCAGAAGTAGGACCCGCTGGTGGAGTGCGTAGCTCGCTGGGCGTGCTGCTGTTTGTTGTTGTGTCTGAAAAAGTGAGACCGACAGCTCTTGTGGGGCTGTGCCGCTTATTGCTGAGGAAAGTGGGACCCATGGCTTGTAGGGCTGCGCCACTTATTACTGAAAAGTGGGACCTACAGAGCTTTGGGGGCCGCACCACTTGTGTTTGTGGGGTGGCAGGATTGGGAGTGGAGCCACTGCCCCGTGTTTTTGTTGTTCTCGTGCTCGTTGTGTTGTCCATCTGTTGTGTCGTCGTGAGCTCGAGGTGTTGTTTACGATACTGTGGCATTTCATCTGTTGAACGGGGGTTTTCCTTGGATCCTACAAGGATGGTGTGTGCAGTGTCAGCTGGTTGCTCCCCAAGGAGACTTTTCCTGAGTCAAGCGCTCCTGTGTGTGAGCGTGTTGGGGGCTGTGAGTGGAGGAACAAACGTGAATTTGTTGGTTAAAGTGTTGAAACCCTGGGATAGGGGTTCGGGATATGCCCCTCCTGTTGAACGTCCTGGGTGGATGCAGGAACCTTGGGATCCACTCCGGGATCATTTGGAAGCTGCACCACGGCTTGGCTGAGGCCAGGCCACCACAGGAGAGCTGCAGGGGCTGGAGGGGGTTCCCAGAGGCAGCTGCATCAGGAGAGACGAGGGGAAAAAAAAAAGAGGGAAAAAAAAAGAGGACAAAAAGAAAAGGGCTCCCTGCCATTTCCCCTCCTACCCCTGCGTGGGGGAGGGAACTGGAGCAGCTGCAGCAGCAGGAAGAAAGTAAGTCTGTAACTTTGGGTTTGGTAACTTCAGAAAAGGGAAATTATTTAGATAGTGTGTTTTGTGCTTTAAACCAGCAAACACCAAGTCCTAGGTACATGTGTGCAATGAGATGCCATGCTGTAGTAGGATTTACAGAAGAAAGTTAATAATATTAAAATTGATGAAGAGGAAGAAAAAGGTTTGAACTTCAGATTGATTGATTGATGCCTGTGTCAGGGATCTGAGTCATAGAATCAGCTGGGTTGCAAAGGACCTTTGATATCATCAAGTCCAACCCTTGATCCACTACCACCATGGTTACCAGACTATGGCACTCCGTGCCACATCCAGTCTCATCTTAAAAACCTCCAGGGACAGAGAATCCACCACTTCCCTGAACAGCCCATTCCAGTGCCTGATTACCCTCCCTGTAAAGAATTTCTTCCTCATATCTAACCTAAAGCTCCCCTGGCAGAGCTTGAGACCAAGCCCTCTTGTCTTTCTGATAGTTGC